AGAGCACGATATTTAGCGACACACTGTAACATATTTTCTTGTTGCCATGGCCCATGGGCTCCGGCCCGCTCCCGGCTTTATGCATAATTAGGGCACGATATTTAGCGACACTGGAACATATTTTCTTGTTGCCATGGCCCACGGGCTCCGGCCCGCTCCCGGCTTAACAAAGGGGGGAAAAGAATATACTTTTTTTAAAGGTTTTTTTTTATAGGTAGATATACTCAAAGAAACTAAGAAAGAAAAGGAGAAATAGAAACTGAAAATTGAACCAGTGATACATTTCGACCGCCAAATCCCCAAAATTCCTCTCGTCTTCTCCCACTTTTAGTCCGTCGACAGAATAATGGGCAGCTCATCCAAGGACGATTCCGGCAGCGACGGCGAGGCTTCCAGCGGCGACACTCCGCCTCCTGACTCCACCCGCTTCACCGAAGGCGAGCGCGTCCTCGCCTACCATGGTCCTCGAATCTATGAAGCCAAGGCATCTCTTCTCTCCTCCCTAAGTTCTGGATTTATTCAACTTCCTAAGCTCGGTTTCTACTAGCTGCTAGACCTAGAATTTTCTTTGGTCATCCTTTACTCGACGCCCTTTCCCTCCGATTTCACTGTTCAATGGGCTCGCAGTTTATTGTGTGTTTTGGCTGCTGAGAAATCTGAAGTAAATTGAATCCGAGTGAATGAGTAGATTGAGTTTAACGGAGAAGCGGTGATCGAAGTTATGATTTGGTAAACAAGTCGCTGTCTCCTTGTTCGTTTAGCACAATTGATTATCTCTTGTTCTCCTCAGGCATTTCCTTTCTGTTGCTGTCACCTTGACCAAATGAATGTGCCAGTTGAGATTTTATTTACTTCAGTGGGGTAATTTCGTTTGTTGCCTTCTGTATTTTTACCTTCTGATCTTTCAGGAAGTAGGTTTCTAGTTTAGTCTTCTGGGAAGTGGGAACTAGGAGGTTTGACAGGCAGGCTGAATTAAGTTCTTCGAGTTCGATTCTGAAACATGCGATTGTTGACGCTAGTGATTTTCTATATGCTTGGTGTCAATAAACTCACATTTCATTCCAAGTCCTCTCATTAATGTAGTCATTTCTTTTCTTTCTAGTTTTCCACTATTGGGCTGAGTTATGCTCACCACTTCTTTGTGATTCTCAAGCCACTGTACTGCTTTAAATTATAGGTTCAAAAGGCGGAGCAACGGAAGAAGGATTGGAAATACTTCGTCCACTACCTTGTAAGCTCCTTTTTTCCTGGCTCCTGTTGTGTTGTTGCACAGTTATACAACAACGTATAGTTAATTTAGGAGAGTTGTATGCCTACTTTTGATCCGCTGAATGCCTGGACTTTCAACAGATTTTCATATTATCTTGTTTTCCTTCTTATTTTGTACTGAATCTGCTGCTGTTTTTTATTATTACAGGGATGGAATAAAAAGTGAGTACTCCTACCCTTCAACTCCTTCCCCTCACATCCCCCAGCCAAACCCTCGTTTACCTTACAATTCATTCGTGGAGACTTCTATTTTGTTGAGTAGTATGCCCCTTTCATTAACGGGTACAGAAATCATTTCTGTGGCTTGGACATATTGCCAACAGTTGGGATGAGTGGGTAGGCGCCGATCGGTTACTGAAACATACTGAAGAAAATGTATCGAAGCAGCAGGCTCTTCACAAAAAGCAGAACTTAGACAAGAATTCAAAGTTGGGACGCTCTCAAACGAAGCCCAAAAATTCTGCTGGTTAGATTATCCTTAATTCATTTGTTGTGCTTATTGCAGAAACTCTTATTAAATAACGGCTACGCAGTTATTTGCCATGGTCAAGTATTGTGCTTTCAAGAATTGTTGCAAGTTTGTTTATAGTTCTATTTTTGTATTTGTAGATACCAAGACGGATAAGGAAGATACAAAAGGCAATGGTTGGTCATTTGCTTTTACGCTCCTTTCTTTATCAGCCTCCGTTGAATTTCATTGTTATCAAAACAAAAAAAAAAAGAACTATTGATTGGATCTTTTGAAATACTCCCCTGTGGTCGTTTATATCATGCCCTATTACTATGAGATCAAAGTTCATTCTCTGTGTCGGTTTTCCCTTGTGCCCTACTATATCTTCTTGAACCGCATTCCTTTGGAATGTTCATTGTTCTTAATGAACACTTATGTTTCTCACAGCAACAAAAGGCAAGAAGCGCAAAGCTGACTCAAATGCAGAGGTAAGTTCATCTAAAGAAATACAATCCTGGAATAACTGTTTCCCTTAGAGGGGATTTTCTTTGATGCTACTGCTCTACTTGCCATACTCATTGTCGGTCCTGGTTTCCCCCTTTTTTATGGCATTTAGCTGACTTACCTTCATACATTCTACGATCTAATCTTATGAGTTGCAATATATATATATATATAAAAAAACAGGATTATACATCTCTGACATATTTAGTTGTTTTTTAGCCCACGCAAAGTCGCAGTTTGTAAGCTGCAGTCTAATGAGGTTTTCCATTAGATAATTGCCAAATTTTATCCATAAATAGAAGAGTTCAGAGAAATTTGTTTCTTTCTATTTTATGATTTTCACGAAAAGTTATTTACAATTGCTGGTTTCCTTTTGACAGAAGGACAATATCTCCATGGAAAAGCAAGTCAAGGTCCAAATTCCATCCACACTTAAGAAGCAACTTGTTGATGACTGGGAGTTTGTCACTCAGCAGGATAAGGTATGTTGTTGACGCCTCCTTATGGTAGGAGCTGATTTCTTAAACGATGCAGCTAATGTAACATTTATGATTTCTATGTTAGAAAATCTTCCACTTCATGATTCCTCTAGTCATAAAAGCTCACAAGGTTGCTTATTGGAAAGAATAATTTTGTGTTTCTCAACTAATTTGCTGTAAAGTCATCCTTTAAATACAGCAACATGGAGGGTTTCCCTTTTACTGTAACCTTTCTACTAGCCATAGTATTGGAATTGCAGTAGCAGCCAAGTGAAAATATGTTGCTTTTTCTTGCTAAAATTTCTTCATTGGATAGTTATGGTTATCTGTAATTTTCACACCATATTAATAGCCTCGGATACTTGGAAAACAATAAAGTTCTGATTTACAAATGAAGAATAAACATGTCATCTATCCACCAGCCTTGGGAGTGACTGTTAATGCCTCTGGTTGATACATTTTTTTTTCAACATCCATCACACCTTAGTCTGTTCTGAGAAATCATTCTGTTCCTGCAGCTTGTTAAACTTCCAAGATCACCAACTGTGGATGACATTTTGTCCAAATACCTCGAGTACAGGTCAAAGAAGGATGGCGTGTGAGTCACTTTCAATGTCTGTTATAATTAACCTCAGTAATATTCTATCCTTATATCCTGATGAGGTTCCCGTTTGGCATCTGAGTACTCATCTCTTTGGAATCACCTTAGCGATGCTAATTGATTTTTAAGATAATTTGCTGAATTAATTAGTGGTGCCGAGGTCCCTATCTCTATGTTTTGCCTGATCCTTTTGACGACTGCATATTCCTGCAAAGAGATGTCAATGGTTGGAGTGGGTTCTTAAACTTAATGGATTTGTGTGCTAAAATCCTGAACTCGCTGTTGTATGCTATAATCCTGAACTCTACTTCTTGGGCTTGAACCAAAACAGTGAGATATTCTTACTTCTTTTGGTGTTATTGAAATCCAGAATGACTGATTCTATAGGAGAAGTTTTAAAAGGGATACGATGTTACTTTGACAAAGCATTGCCAGTGATGCTCCTATACAAAAGAGAGCGCCAACAGTATCAAGATGTTATCAAAGAAGACGTCTCTCCATCAACAATATATGGTGCTGAACATTTATTGCGTCTATTTGGTATGCTCTTTGGAACTTTGATTCTTAGTTTGCGTCTCTCCATTAACCCGATCGAAGAAAATCTTATCTCCTTTCTTTATATCTACACATATTGGAGCTGTGAATTGACGTAAGCAGACAAGGTTCATCTATCTTTACTGGTCATGAACACAACCCCCCCCCCCCCCCCCCCCCCCCCCCCCCCCTAAACCATTTTTCATACTGTAGCATATTCATTGAGTCCATAAGCTTTAAGATGGAACTCGTGTGTTCTGCATATGCTTAATTTTGTGTTTGGTAGAGCATGTATTCTGCTTCTTCGTTGTGGCAGTCTGTCATTTACATAATTTTTTCCCTATCTGCAGTCAAGCTACCCGAGTTGCTGGCATATGTTAATATTGAAGTGGAGACACTGACTCGCTTGCAGCAGAAATTACTAGATTTCCTCAAGTAAGCTGACTTTTCCCATGCTGATTCGCTAAATAGCTGATCGTTGAATAATCTGGGTACCGACCACTTGGCAAGAAATGCAAATCAAATTTTAGGTCACCCCATTCTAGAAGCCTTCTTCCATCTAAAGTGTTAAACAGTTATCTATGTGGAAAGCCGAAAGCCAACAACGCTAGGATCCTGGACAGTATCATCTTGTATTCTTGTGCTAAATCTTTCCTTCTGTAATGTATTGCATTTGATCGGTGGTAACAGGTTTCTTCAGAAGAATCAGAGCACGTTCTTCCTCTCTGCGTACGACGGGTCAAAAGTTTCGGAAAGCAAAAGCAAAGGCAAAGATGAATGATATTAATAACTCTGGTAACCTGAAGCAGTTTCTTAACCAATTGAAGAGCATCATTCCAGGTGTTGTTGTAACGTGTAACAGTTACTATGCCTATTCTTTCCTCTGAGGTCTTGTACATCAGATTAGATACTGGAAAGCATATTTGGAAAGACATGAACTGGAGCCATGGACTGATTACATAACGATTGAAGTGTTTGTTTCATGACTCTTCTGTCTTGAACCCTCCTCGTCCTCAACATCCCATGTACCATGTAGAAATGTTGCATTCAAAAGATGGGTCTTGAATTAAAACAATTGGTTCAAATCGGATAATTTGCGCAATTGCCTTTTTTGGCAACATAGAAAAGGTGATGCAGCCATTGAGTTGATGCAATTTGAATTGCTTTGTTTTGCATCAATTTGAATAGACAGAGTCTCAAATTACATCATTTCTGAAATCCCTAAATCACACCTTTATAATGAGCACTATTTGCTTACATATATTAGAGTCTGATTCATTGCCAATTGGAACTATAGTGACCATTAATGGGATTATGGGAACGAGTCAACTATTCTTGAAATAGGTCTGTCACAAGATTATTATGTGCTTGACAAGAAATTATGAGCCAGAATTCATGGAACAGCAGGAATTTCCATGCCAGAGGCTGAACGTGCTTAACTAGTGCTCCTGAAGGACCACCCTAACTACGAGTTTAGCTGATTAAAGTTTGAAGCAGCTTTTGCAACTACTAACTGCTCATGCGAATATAAATGAAGGGAAGAGGAGCTTGCGTTCTCTTCTTCCTTCAACTGTCGGAAGGAATCCAGCAGTTCAAAATCCTCTTGTCGATGTTGCTACTGCTTACTCTCCCTCGTTGAAGATGAAAATTGCATACTCACAGTATCTCAGAAACCTGCATCATCCGGGGACATTGAATTTCGGTCATAAAGAAAGACATCTAAATACCAAACTTCAGTGTACTATTCCTGAGAAGGATTTGTTCCATAAGTGGTTCAAAGTAATGCAGGACACAGCTTACATTTATAGGCATTTCAGCAATGAGAAGGCCACAACTTTCCTCCACATTCTTCAAGGTCACAACTTCCCCACCGGCAACCACGTTGATAACAATCCCATCTGCAGATAGAGCGCGTAAGCGTGGCGTTAGAAAAAAGACCTTCATGCAATGTTGAAAAGCTGCCGCAACATCCCAAAGAAAACAAACCTGCAGCTAGACATGTGCTCACTCGTCTCATGTACATTTCCTGCATGTAAGTAGAAACCATGATAAGAAATCTGATGAAGATCATTTGGTTTTTTATGCTAACAGATACGAGCAAATATCACATTGTTCTACCGGCAACCAAAGTAAGCAGAAGTTGCATAACGGCTGCCACATGTACAGGAAACAAGGTTGATCATTTGCTCGGATAACAATTGCTTCAAGAACTAGCGATCCACTATTATTCTCACACAATGACAAAAGAGAAAGGGAAAAGGCAGAAATCAAGCTAGAAGAGGCTTAATTGCGTTTCATTCGCTTTGTCTGATTCTAGAAAAACAGTCATGCAAATCAAATGGATATGCCAACTGGAGGCAAAAAGAAAACCCATCGCTAATAGATGATGCAATGCACATGATCTTCAGTCGACAGAGATAGGCTTTACACCGTTTACACGAACAGCAACGATTGGTAGCTCATCAGGAGAAAAATACCTTCTTCGTTGGTAGCTCGTAGTTGATCAGGATACGAGCAGCGATAGATGATTCGCCACTGAGAACTCCCGGAAGGCAAGCATCCGTTACAACTATCATCTGGGACTTGTTCTCATTGTTCTGATTCTCACCATCGTCCCCGAACTGAACACTAGTCATAGCACTCTCAGCCCATTTGATGGTCGCTTGCCTAAATGTCTCCAAGACTAGGGTTCTTTCTGACTCAGCTAGGTCACTGTACTGGCCATGGTTTACAACAGATGTTTTTAAACCATTGTAACTCAAATTCAAGCTAAATCGACATTCTCAAAGCCAGTGGTAGCACTTGCACGGGAAATTAAGGAAATGAGCAGTGCGTACCAGAGACGCAAGAGAGATGTCAGGGAGGTTGGAGACTGCAGAGCATACAGCATCGAGTTCGTCCCTCGAGCTGCAGCAAACCGCCATTGGAATTCCAGAGCGGCGGCCGGCTACACCTAGCAAATCTACCAGCATCTCCTGCTCGGACAATTCAAAGGGTTTCCATTAAGGCGAGTGAAATTTTAGAATTATTCAGGCAATTGAGACGAGCTGCGGGAAAACTAGGCGTACCATCTTGAACTGAAGTCGGTCGACGGCAAGATAGAAGTGACGCTGTTGTTGGCCGCCACTGCCGAAAGGGTTAGTGACTTCATTGAAGTGGAATTTGAAACAGGAACGAGGGATGAGAATCGGAGAAGGAATTGGAAGAAAACCTGAAATTGGAGGCGGTCGGAGAAGGGGAAGACGGAGAATCCATTGATTCGGTTATTGCCATGGCGCTTGGAAGTCGAGTAAATAAAATGAAACAGAATTCAACTCCACTCGCAGTCGCAGCGATGCGTAAAACCCCGTATCGAACCGGTCCAGTTAAACCGGACCGTTTCCAAGTCGTACGTCTCAAAGCCCCACCAGCTACCACTTTGTTTCCTTCTTCTGCAACTTTTCAGACTTCTCTTCCGTTTCTTCTCCGCCGACCCAATAGCGTTATTCTGCTAACCCTTTAAGTGGTTAGCAGATACTAACAGGGTGGGATGATGATCCACGTCGCCGAGCTACCATCGGAGGGTGAGGGATCACCGGCGCTATGATGTGAGGGGAAGATTTTTTTGGGCAAGCCGAGCCACTTTTGGGAGAAGTGGGGCCAGAAATTAAAAAAAAAAACCCAAAATTTCAAACCCAAAACCCGAGCTCAACCCGCGTCAGCCATTCTCCCCTCTCTCTCCAACTTTCGAACCCTCTCCCTCTCTGTTTCTTCTTCTCCCGAAAACCACCACCAACAGCGACGACGGCTGCAAGGTCGGCGACGGCTTGTTGGATCTCCCGCCGACGACGACGTTGAAGCTATCCCGACCGACGAGGAAGAAGACGCCACCGACGAAGAAGGAAGAAGAAGACGCCGCCGACTTGGCCAACGAAGAAGGCCGTCGCTGTAGCCGCCGATAGTGGGAGGTAGAAGAAGACATTGAGGTAGAAGACTTCTCCTCTCTTTATTGTTCATTTTGTTTGTGGATAGTAAGTTAGGGTTTCATGGATTTTTTTTTTTTGTGGAAATCTGGGTTTTGTTTATGGATTTGAAAATTTATGGTTCATGTGATTCGATTTAGGGTGTTTAGGGTTTTGATTCTAGATTACCAGATTTTGTGTCCGTGGGATTCGAATTTGGGGGTTTAGGGTTTCGTTTCTCGATTTGTAGATTTAGGGTTTCATGGATTCGAATATGGGTGTTTAGGGTTTTGTTTGTAGATTACCAGATTCTGGGTCTGTGGGATTCGAATTTTGGAGCTCTGGTTTTTTTCTTCTAGTTACCGGATTTATGATTTCTCGAATTCCATTTTGGGGGTTTGTTGGATACGATTTTGCGGAATCTAGGTATTGTTTGTTGATTCCTTGATTAAAGGTTACATGGATATCAGTTTTGTCACTTCCGATACTTATTCTGGTCATTTTATATATTGTTTCATTATGGTTTCTCGAATTCCATTTTGGGGGGTTTGTTGGATACGATTTTGTTGAATCTGGGTATCGTTTGTCGATTCCTTGATTAAAGGTTACATGGATATCAGTTTTGTCACTTCTGATACTTATTCTGGTAATTTTTTATATTGTTTCAGTGAATGGGGAGACCGAAAAAGAACTCAAAGCCCAACAATGAGGGAGAAGGATCATCAAAGCAGCCACCGGATGAACAACAACCACAGGTTTCATTTCTTACTTCGTTTCTCGATTGGTTATGTTGGCTAAAAATTACTAGTCCGATGCATTTTAATATTTTCCTTCGCTGGATAGTTTTCTTAATATCTAACTATGTTTCAGGAACAACCCGTGAGGAAGAAATCCAAAATTGTTGCACCAAAATCTGCAGCGAAATCTCGTGAAGCAGCTGGATCATCACAGCAGCCGCCGGATGAACAACCACCAAAGGTTTGATTTCTCACTTCGTTTCTCGATTAGTTATATTGGCTAAAAAAATAATCTGATGTGTCTGATGTGTGGATATCAGTTCTGTTAAGGTGGATACTTAACTGTTCGTTTTAGTTATTTTTCTGGATATTATGGACATTTTTTTCATGGATATCAGTTATCTCCGTTTGGATACACTTTTGCTTTACTACGATAATAATTGTATGTATTGGCTAAAAAAATAATCTAATGTGTCTGATGTGTGGATATCAGTTCTGTTAGTGTGGATACTTAACTGTTCGTTTTAGTTATTTTTCTGGGTATTATGGATATTTTTTTCATGGATATCAGTTATCTTCGTTTGGATACAATTTTGCTTTACTACGAGAATAATTGTATATAAGTGTGCGTTTTAGTTATTTGTCCAAGGATTATGGATATTTTGCTTAATATATAACTGTGTTTCAGAAACAACCCGGGATGAAAAGAACGAAAATGGTTGCATCGAGATCTCGTCAAGGAGAAGGATCAAGGCAGCCGCCGCCTGCTATTCCAGAAGTTGAGGAGGAAGATGAGGAAGAAGATGATGAGGGAGAGGGTCCCTGCGGCTCATATTTCAGATTTCGTGGCTCCACCTATTCCCTCTTCAAAATTATAAACTACTAGAAACAAGATGCTGGATACTATGCAGCATGCAAGAAAGAAGTCGAGAAGGCAGGATTCGGGGGCCTATTGGACCTTCGCATGCCGAAGATATCCAATGTCGTCATGGACGACTTGATGGCTGCTTATGACTCCTCATCCAGTACTTTTGTTTTTGGAGAAGGAGACTCGAAGAAGGTCTTCGACTTCACAGCTGAGAATGTGGCACGTGTGTACGACCTTCCTCTCGGTGGGGCTGTGATTGATTTGAAGAACGTTGAGGGGGAATGCTCGACAGTTTCAGCGAGGAAGTTGGCATTATTCCTAACAGGGCTCGCATGGTTCCTATCAAGAAGCTGCGGGAGTTGGCCATTCCAGCCAACGGTCCTAGACCACCTGTTGCAATTGCTGTCAAGCAATTCTTGTTGCTAGCTACTAGTTCGATGCTCGTGCCAACATTTTCTCGAAGGTGCAAGTTGGACTTTGCCCCATACCTAGGTGGGAGTGTTGAGGACGTGAGGGTGTACGATTGGTGTACATTTATTGTCCGTGAATGGAAAGTAGAGTTGACTCTTGCCAAGATAAAAGGACTTAGTGCAAAGGCGTCGGGCTCGCCGTGCGTGTGGGTTCTCGGAGATTGCTACTTATTGATAGTAAGTCCTAACCTTTTCTATAATTGTTGGTTCAATCGCATGAAAACTAGTGAATTTCGTATTTGGGTATCATCTATCTGAACTCGGATACTCTTTGTTTTGTAAGAAATTAGCTTTAAATGATTTCTGGATATCAGTTTAGTCACATAAGATACTGTTTGTGTTGACTCTGGATATTTGTTGATTAAATTGCTAGAAATGTAGCTTAACATTTATTAGTTGTAATTTTTTTTTACAGCTCCATCTGCTGGACTCTCTAAAACTAGGCGGGTTGCACACAAAGACCATACCTAGCTGCCGGTTTTGGTGGAAGCAAAGTGTCGAGAGGGCAAGCACATCTATCCCCTTAGTCAAGGGAAGATATGACCTAGCTGCCGCTCTGCTGAGTAGGGAAGAAATCGCCTCTCGCAGGCAGCTCCAGTCGGCGGCTATTGGGTGTACTAGTGCAGCAACTGCGAGCAGTTTAGCTCCTCCTCCAGATCGTGCACCGTTGCCCACCGCGGACTGGTGGGAGACTGAAGATTTGACTAGCCTTCCGCTAGGGCATGTAAAATGTTTTCTTCCTCCCTAACTAAGATCGTGCATTGGTAGACTTGGACGATATAGTAACCTAAATATTTCACAACATATGTGTAGTTTAAGGGATTGAAGGAAATGACTGAGAGCATGATTGAAAAGTGGGTGGCTCGAAGGGACAAAGTCCAAACGATTGTCCGGAATTTGGAACAGCAAGAGTGAATTTGATCTACTGTTTTCCGTTGTTTGGTGGGGGGTTGTACTATTTTCCGTGAATTTGATGCCATGTTGGAATGGCTTTGGATATTAGTCGGATTTTAGTTTGTTGTTCTGGAATATTTGTTGGTTTTATTTGGATATCAGCTAGTGGTTTCTTTTCAGTTATGAATACTGGTTTGTGAGGTTTGGATATTAATTTTATGCATTTGGATATTTATGTGAAATCAATGTTTGCTATTTTTGGATATCAATTCTGCCAACTTGAATATTTGTACGCTCTCTTCTGATACTAGTATGGGTACATGGGATAATTGTGCGAGCAGTTTGGATATAGTTTTTAATTTGCACAAAATGTTCGTTTGTCTTCCAGCTTAAGGTACTAGGTGCTGGGATTGACCGACATATAGGAAAATTGCTGGACTTTGCAACAAAACTGGGACATATGACAGAAAAGAGGGAAGAGCATGATAGGTTCAAGGTCGTGGATTCCAGGAGGAGACCTTTGGAGAATACTGTTGAGGAGGTGCTAGAGCAGCTTAAAACAGAGGTGGTGGAAGACCAAGTGGAGAATATTGAAGCTAAAATGGAAACGGATGAGCAGCCTCTAGAGAAGGACCAGGTCGAGCCACAAGTGGAGACAACAGGAGAGAAATGTGAAGAAGATCCTGAAGAGAAGAATAGATTTGAGGTGGTGGAGAATGAAGCTGAGAAGACTGTAGAGACACCGGACGAGGAGGTGTTTGAGCCGACAATCCCTATGGTGATACACTATACAGTCCCAGATACCTCTTTTGAGGATATTTTGCAGATAGCTCATGAGGCTACTAGCGCTGCTAATGTCGAGGAAGAAGACCCACCTACATATGTGGTGGAGTCGTTCTCTCAACTTGCAGAGATGGGAATGTTGCCTACAGACGAGGAGTTGGTAGAAGCGGCTTGTAAGAGCGCTGAGAGGAGTCCAGATGTGATTATCATGCATGAGAGGAATATGAATGACGAGGAGAGAGACCGTCTGTACAGCTACACACCTGAGGAATGGCTTGCAACACTAAAGACCCCAGAGTTCGAGAGGTCGAAGAAGAACCCATATGCTTCTTCATCAGTATATTATTTGTCGAAGGATATGTCGATAAAGCTCGACCCAGTTGCTCGTCGTATGGTTGAGTTCGTCTTCAGTACCCCTGAGTGTTGATTAAATTGCTCGCTTTATTAGTTTAAAATAGACAACGCTAAGTGTATCCCTGATTTTTTTATCAAGGATGGATTAAGAATATCTTTCCTTCAACAAAAGTATATCATATGACCCAAAGTGATATCCAAAACACCCAAACTAAAATCTGAGCATATTTGATGGAAATACATAAAATCCACACAA